TATATATATATATATGATGTGTGTGTGTGTGTATGTCTCTATATGACTTCCCCCTTTTATTTTTCTTTGCACTGTCTTGGTGAACCTGCAGCCTTCCTTTTTGGTTACATACATGCCTGCACATTGTGATAATAAAGTTGAATATTTTTATTTTTATGCACTGATTCTGTCTTGCGTCCTCCTATCCTTTTCTTCTATTTTTCTTTTTTCTTTGCTATTCACATTACTTACATGTCATGATGATGTGTCACATCAAATAGTTATTACTCTTTTTTTTTTAAGTTTGCATTTCAATACTGAATGGAAACAATCATCAATTTGCTGATTTGCTGGAATGTCATATTTGCACTCCATTGGAATGGAAACTTGACTAGTGAGTGGCTTGTTACCTGCAGGAAGAAAAGTCTCTGGGTGATCTCCTGGATGAGTTCTTCTGAGACATCCTCGGGGAAGAACTTGGCTCTGAACTTAAACTGCAGAGGGTTCTCCTTCTTCACATCCTGCTGGGTCACCTGGACAATAAAGACAACATCACTATGCATCTGATCAACAGATCATAAAGTCAGTGTCACAGCTACATCTCAGTGAGGGGCCTGGAAGGAAGAACAAGTCACAACAATGTTGGTATGTTACAGTGTGAATTGTGCTGATTTTGCATCATCCCTTTCATCATGTCCTTTAATAGATATCAAAGCACATTAAGGGACTGTGATAAACAAGCATATTCATCACATAACACTTGTCACTGTAAGTCAGAACAGATCTTTTGATATCTGGGAACATGTGCTTCTGGGCTTGGCTGTGCCTACTGTATGTGCACAGTTGGTGCTCACACACAAAATACTTTCCACTGGAGCTCCACTTGTTAGAAGAAACACACACTGGTTTCACTGTACAATGTTAGGGGGATTTTTCCTCATATTTGTCTGAATCCCCTGCATCTCTTTCTGTCTCTGTCTCAAACACACTTGAAGAGTGAGTGAGGAAATGTCTGTCATGTAAACAAACAGACAGATACACTGTAATAGCAGGGGTGTTAAGGCTGGAGGGTGTGTTGGCCGGAGTGAGAGAGGAAGTCTGTTAAAAGAGCACATCTGATGCTCCAGACCACAGCAGAGCTTCTGGGAAAATCCCAGACAAACAACAGACAATGACTAGAAGAAAGACACAAATAAAGTGTGAAAGAAAACGAAAGAAAAAGCAAAGAATTAAAAAGTGGGGGAAGCAGAGAGCCAGTAAAAGGAAGAAGACAGTAGAAGAGCAGCCTTGTAAATGAAAAACTGTGTGTTTTGGTTTATTACATAGGAGAAGATTAAAGCAAAGGAAGACTGACCTTCTTGTTGAGTTTGAGCCAGGTGATGTAGCCTTTACTGTCCACATACTGCAGGCCAAAGAACCAGACCTCCCGCAGTCCCACCGTCTTCACCACCTGAGAATAAAACACAACGTTCATTTACCTTTACTTAATAATGAACAGTATAGGTGGTGACATGCCTGAAACGACCCCAGCCTGAATTGAACCAGGGACATTATGGTTATGTAGCAAGTGTCTTATCCAGAAGACCTACATACATCATTAGCAGATGATATTAGCAATAAATGAGATGATAACCAACAACACTAGTAGCCGCTGCTGATTTTTACATTTGTTTTAAAAACGTGTGCCTCGAGGACAGCCAGCTGATCTCCTTTTTAAAGCTTGACAGTGAATGGGTCATTTAGAGGGCTGTTGGACAGCTGCAAAGGCCCAAATTGTTTGCCTGTCAGTTTGAAAAAGGGCTGGTGTTCAAAGGGGGGCACAGCATAAAAATAAATCTTGTAAGTGAACTTTATTTAGCTTTAACACCTTCAACTTGTGCATATCACATTTGGTATCGCAGTTTCTTCCTAACATGCAGCAGTCTGCAGTTTCAAGTGTTTTTGTGTAGATGCTCCTTAGGGGCAACACACACACACACACACCATTCTACCTGTCTGGAGTGCGTGGGAGGACATGAATTTCTTTGTGGCAGACTGGACCATAGACTAGCTTGATTTTCTTTGTGGCGCTGTTTGTGTAAAAATGATGTGCTTCAACATTGTTTTCAGGTAATTTCCAAAAAGTTCTCTCAAATTGGAAGGCAAACAGCAAAGGTAAATCCCAAGTGAGTGCACCCAAGATGTAATGATGTAAGATGTAATGCATTACTGAATATTAAAAAAAAAACTAAGGTAAATACAGCAGGTACAAAAAGCTAACTTCTAAAACCAAACGGTGACATAAACATATTTTTTGAAAGCAGTAACCAGTCGACATTGGTGGTTATGTCATTCCTGCTCACCTGGTCAAAGAGCTGTTTTCCTGTGGTATTAGGTTGGATGGCAAACTCCAGCTCTGCATCCATGGTGGTCACACGGACGTTGATCTAGAAAACATATACAACAAGAAGTTTACTTTGTTTGCCATATTACTGAGACAAAGATTTTACAGTGAGACATCAGATACAGCAAATGTCACACAAATGTCACAACAATACCATTTTCTGCTGTGGAGAAATTCTAAATAAAACCAGTAAGTGGAATACGCCTGAAACTACTACCACCATACATAGAGCTCATTAATATTAACACCTTTCTTTCTAATCTCGACTAAATGTCCACTAATCTCCATCATCAATCAGGCAACGTTACTCAGTTTAGTCCGTTTTATTTTTAGCTGTTCCTCGAGGTGCAGTTCAGTTTTTGTTAATGCAAACTTAGTGCTTCACCATTATAGCGGTCCACTGACCATTTTAGGACTTTTTTGAGGAGGTGAAGTAGCTTGAGGCTTTTTTTGTAGCTTCAGTAAACAACATAAAAGAGGTTCAATAAATATATGGACAAATGAGCAGTTTCTGTAAGCAGTTCTCAATTTTGAAGGGAGAAATGGTAAACGAAGAAAAACCCACAGTGGTCCTGTTAAACAAAGAGTGAAAACCACAGGTTCAGGTAGAGCTCTGAAAACCAAACGACGGTGAAACCACGTAACTTTGTCAACAATGTAGTCATAGCGAGCCAAACCGCTTACATGTATGTTTCTTTTAAAAACAGAAATCCTGAGGCCTAATGTTTGAGATGAATAACACGTAACTGCTCCACAAGTCCACTGTTGGTTTTAAACCGAGGACCTTTGTTACGTACACTCTCCCTACGTTTCCTGTTTGCATCTTTCATATCTGAGGTAGCAATGAGAGCCGTCTGTGCTTAACTCCGACATTATTCAGGGTTCCCAATCTTTTTTCAAGTTTTTCTTGACAATATAAGACTGCACTTGCTCACAATGGTGGTCAGTGTTTATGGCACACTGTGTTAGTGGTCGTGGTGCGCTTAGCTGTTCTCACCACATCCTATTTTCCTGCTTCTCGCTTTCCTTGAGCGGAGCATAAATAACAGATCAAATCAAGTAAATTTATTTTATTTTACAGAAAATTCATTAGCCTATTAAAAGAATAGGTAGGAAGTGTTGTACGTGTTGTTTTGAACGTACAATTAACAATTATCAACCACAACAACAAATGTAAATGTGATCATTAATAAGCTGTATTCGTGTAGATGTGAAAACAGAGTTGACACCATTTGTTGTTTGCTGCAACAACTCTTAACTGACATGAGAGCAGAAATAAAAAAAAAAGGAGCATTCTCCAGTTACGTCTTGGTTCTGAGAAACCTGCTTTTAAGTGTTATAGCATGCAGATTATCCTACCAGCAGTTGAGTTTTAAACACAATAAAAAAGTTTCAACGTAGATTTGATCATTTAAATTAATTTCCAGGTGTTTCAATGACATGTGGGAACCCTGACTGATGTCTGTTAAACATAATATATACTGTAGGATTTGGTACATGGCATGTATGCAGCAACACAACTGACAATGCATAACATGATGCGGTCTAACTCTTCCTCAGTCCAGCAACAATCTTCCTGGAAATTATAGAAATCCTACAGAAGAGAAAGGAAGAACGGTTGCTCAGTATGTCAGCAATGTGTCAATTTCCCTCGATCCTAGCCCACGTTCAGTAAAAAGACTGTAAACGTGTGCGTCTCTCCCTCTTTCCATCCTACACTGCCAGGGTGAGTAAGCCCCGCCTTTCAAGGCAGCCTACTACTCGGGCCTCTGTTGGGGTGGTGCAGAGGATAAAACTCAGTCATTGGCTGGGCCCTGTTAAGCGGCACTGGCAGTAGGCCTAGCGGCAGCTGATGGCACAGTACAGGGCAGGGGGCTGACCTCGAGGCACTGACAGTCCATTCCTCCAACACCTACACACACACACACACACACAAACACACACAAACTACGCTGTGTGTTGCCTCAGTAGTGGTTAACAACACGAGAAGAGAGACGGAGGGCAGGGCACGGTACAGAGGAAGGCGACAAGCAAAATGAGAGGCTGAATGCAAAAGCAAAAAGTTTTGCAAGAGTGCAAGAAGGAAGAAAGAAATAAGCGGGGCAGACCGAGCGCAACAGGAAGAAAGAGAGATGATCTAGGGTGTACTCCCTTTGAGATTGAGTTACAGCGAGGTTAATGCAGAAGAGCCAACCGTACAAAAAAGGAGGGAAAGAAGAAGCAACGCAGAAAGAAGAAACTGAGGAAAGGAGACGTCCATTTCCTCTGAGCTATTATACACAAAACCTCAGGAACGCTTACTTTGCATTTCCCTCCCTCTCCTCCCAACATCTCTCCACCGCCTCTCCTGTCTCCATCCCTCCCTGTTTCTCTCAATATCGCTGCAATGAATAATCCATGAAACTTGTGTCTATACAGCACATAGCTGGACTCCCCCCGTGTCACATGGAGCTCAGACCACAATGTATCTGCCTCTGTCTCCCTCTCATTAATTACCCATGAAAAGTTGCAGCACTTTCTCCACACTATAGACATCCCGCATGAACACTCCTGCATGGCCGACACCATGACTGTGATGTGCGACAGTCCATTTATATAACATTACTTTAAAAAGGGACTAAACCGTTACCCACATGTTAATAATCTAACCTGCTTAAGGCCAGGCTTTATTTTGGTTGGAAAATGTGGGCAGCTTCCCAGAGAAAGATTAAGTCTTAAGTGACTAAACGATTGTATTTTGCCTTCAGTCAGGGTCACTTTTCAATTGATTCGGTTGCTGCATCACAGCAAACATTTTGTGCTTTTAAAGAGCAAATCTCTCTGGCACGCTTGTTGCCAATGTGTCTTTCAATGAAGATTCCACACAGAGAGGCACTTTATTTTTAGTCCACATCAAGACCGGGGCTTAATCCCTGATCCTTGTCTGGGAAATCAACCCACTTTGCAAAAGATGCCAGTTGTCTGCAGGGGAGGAAAAGGTTCAGTGTGTAGTGCAGGACTGGAGTCGATCATCTCTAATGATATGAGCCTGTACAAATTTCTCTGGGTGAAACTAACTTTTCATATCAGTTAACATTATTTTCTATGCTTAAATTGTTTTGTCACTAAATCATTTATTTTAACGTGTTGAGTGGACACCGTACAATACAGGTCATTGTTTTATAGTTCTAAGTGGTGTTACTCACTTTCAAATGAGAATGCCTGTATAGTGCTGAGACTGCGTAGTTCCACTCTCTGCGTTATGAATGTGACTGTACACCAATGACACAGACAGCCAATAACATTAGCTGCTTATTACAACACGGCGCTGTCAACATCGTTTCAATGAGGATGCTAAGGATATGGTTACATTACAGAACATGAGCTACTGCTACCTAATAAAACCCACTGCTGACTCTGGTTAGGCTTGCTTAGATGCAGACACTTAAAACAGACTCCTATTACATATGACAGATTCATGTTACTCAGATCATCAACCAAATAACCAAAACAAACAAATGTGAAAAACAATTAGATTTTTGTGAAGTTCCATCAGAAGCCACAGTAAAAGCTCACGACTGCAGTCCTATAAGGTCGCTCGTTCAACCAAGACGAAGCATTTCTCAGAAAATCAGTTTGCAGACGTGGTAAGTGTTCACACATCCACCCTTCTCTTTTTACGCTATGCATGTCCTGCACACACAATATGATACGATTGCGCTTTGGCAATGAATACATTCTGCAAAATGATCTTTCACGTATTCCTTATTCATTGTTTACTCCATGTCTGTAGGGCAGGGGAGTCAAGAGACTGTGGCCCTTTGCTCCTTTGTAAAAAACAAAACAAAAACAACCTTAGATGAGTCACTGAAACGTTACAGCTGCCACAGGACAAGCAAACACTTGATTTATTGCTGTTACGGATAAGATGGAGATATTCTTGCAAAAATCAAGTGTCTGATTTAGAGTTTTCTCAGATACCGTGGTGCGATAATAGCATTTAACTGGACTCTTCTCATGCCACAGAATTTCGTCCTCACTGGCCTTTAACCAACTAAACCTGCACTTAATCAGGTTCTGAGATCTCGGCTCAGCACCTGGGCAAATCTCAGTCTACTCTTGCAAGTGCACAAAGCAAGCCCTTGACGAAAGCCACATCGGCAAAATAACCTGTTCATGGTTCACTGACAGACTAAGACTGTGTGTTGGTTTCAAGAGTAGCTGCCTCATTGACTCTCTGAGGCGGGAGTAGTTCTGGAGAATGTAGTGCTGAGCTGGGGTTTCCAAGTGACCGGCCTTGAATGTCCCTTCCCCTGCGTTTGTGTGGGGCCCGCTTTTGTGTGTCTGTCTCCTTGCCAAAACACGGCCAACCCACAGCGCAGAAAGAGGTAGAATCCTGTATGGAGCAGACGGTCAGCTAATCCTCTCTCTCCTGCGCAGAGAGGGGGGAGAGGGACAACAACATGCCGAGGCACTGACACAGCTAATCACACACTCTGACAACAGAGAAGTCTCGAAGGAGCGACTTTTGCAAGCCTGTCCTCGTATGACACCGCCTGTTTAGTGACACTAGACACACTGACTGGGCAACATGACAGTTCCTAAAAGACCCAATTACTGTCTTTAAAGAGAGTCAGACCAGTTAGAGTTAGGAGTAAGAGTCAGACCAGCAGTAAAGCCCTTAACGCTCTTCAACAAGTTCTCATATTTGCCCGACGTTGTAGGTAAAAAGCATCTATACTACCTGTAAATTCAGCTGTTTCTGTTTAATGCCATATGATTGAGGTTAACCTTTAAAGTAGCGAAAGCCACTTGATGCGGCTGAGTCATATTCCAGTTAGGGCACTGGTCCGACACATCTCCATCGCGGTTCCAATGTCTGGAGGTTTTGGAGCTTGGAACTGTTTCAGAATCACTGCGTCTAAAGAAGCCTGTTCTCTTCAGCAGCCACATTTTCAGCTTTCAGTTTCTTTGCCTACGTTTTTGTGTGCAAGCTCACTGAATACACTTTTGAAGCTCATTTTGTAATTTACTGTTTAAATACAGACCAATGAGCTAGTGTCAAACTAGTGTGTAGTGTGTAGTCACTATCAGTGAAGATCAAACATCACACTGTAGGGACGAGAAGAAAAGCAGATTTTTGAGCGGAGGAGGACTTAAAGAAAAAGTTAATGGTCAATAACTTTGGTATTTAAATACATTTCGCAAAGTGAATTCCTTGCTTCAGAGACACAAGCTCCTCCGGCAAAAACAGACCCGACGAGTAAAGATAGTGTAGGAGAGAGAAGAGCTTTTCATGAGCTGTGAGTGAGACACTTTGCTCGCACCCCCGGTGAATATTGCCGCAGTTGCTAGAGTGGCAGTGGGTTGTCTCTGGCAGTCGCACCGGAGTGAAAACGTGACACAGCTGCATCCGGTGGACACTGCTGCTAACGCCAGGTCCATCTCTGATCACATGACACCGAGGCCCAGCAGCAGGCGATGAAGTTAAGACAAGATTACTGAGGTGTTGACTTCTTTGCATTTTCTGTGCTTTTTACTGGTTTGCTTGCTGTTCGTGATTTTCCACCTTCCTGTACACAGATAACGGTTTAATAGGGGGACTATTTTAGACTATGCGTCTCCTCCCATCTTGTACATAACACTATAATTTGCTCTCCCTCCTTCATGTGCAGTGTCACTAGGAAGACCTCGCGTTGCAGTGAGTATAGTTCACGGTAGCACTAAAGCACTGACTTGACAAGCAAGTGCAACGAATGAGGCCAACAAACATGAAAGGCCAATGAGCATCTGAGTGAGTCTCATTTACATTTTTGGGCTTTTCTTTCTGTGTGCGCGCTTCTGGGACGTTTCCAAATCCCCCTCTCCATTTCAATTGTGAAGACGAGTTCTCGCTCAGACGGGCCCCTTGTTAAATGTGCAGCTGTTTAGTTACTGTAAGCTGTTAAGAGGAGCTTTGCTGAGAGAGGCCTTAAGAGAGACAGACACACACACACTTCATCAGTAGAGCTCCTAATCTGGCCTGCTGGGCCCTGAGCAGCTGTCTGTCCCTCTGATTAACCCCCCTGCAGGGTGAGGCAGGCTTCGGAGGGAGGGAGGAATGGAAGGAGGAGTGAGAGCGGAGGAGGAATCATTGCTACCTTCAAACACAAACATTCATCCTTTAGGGGGAAAGGGAGGTGAATGCTGTGTGGGAAGCATCCCTTTCACAAGAGGACAAAAAAACGGACTTGTCTGCGTCGACAGGATCTGAGAACCTTCCAGTGATTTTACAAGAGTGGAAGGATAATAAAGAGGAAAAGAGAGGGCCTTACTTACCTTAGGCCTTACCTACTTGATTATGGACCTAGCTTTTGTATTGTAAATGAGGTGAAGGGTTAAACACAACTGGCAAACAGTGTTATAATGTTTCCTAGCACCAATACGGCTACTCCTCCCTTCCCACAACACTTTTCCTACCTCTTAAAATTCCTACCGAGTATCTCCTGAGCACAACAACAAAACCCCATGTCCCTTTCTCTTTCTCTCTATGTGAAAATCTTGACATTTTCCTCCATGAGACTCCTTCCTTCCCTTACAGGCCCTCAGTCGTAGTGACAATCCTCTCTCTTCACCTTGCGTCTGTACTTCCACAGACACAGGATGTTAACATAGACTGGGCCCCTGATATACACAGCAGGGCCGCTTTCCAGGAAACAGGAAAACAGCCACAAGCTAGGAAGCCAGTGAGGGCCCTCTTCCTGTGGGGTGCCATCACCTAATAAACCCCCCCCCCCCCCCCCCCCCCCCCC